TGTGTGTGTGTGTGTGTGTGTGTGTGTGTGTGTGTGTGCGTGTCTGTGTGAGTGTGTGTGTGTGTTTGTGTTTGTGTTCTATGAGGTGTTCCCAGGCAGTGTACCGTGAGTGAAATGTTGGAAAGTCTACTTCTCGTCTTCGTCACCTTCGCTCATGCTGCTGATGGAGGCGGAGGCTCCTTTCGGGGAGGTCGGGGGCGAGGGCCTGGCGTTGTACCAGCGGGCAGGGGGTGACGGTGGGGATGGGGAGCGCAGTGGGGACAGTTCACGAGGAGGACTATTGCAGGGAGACTCTCTGGGAGACAAGGCGTAGGACAGCATTCGACCGCTGCGCTCCTGAAACACTTGTTTCTGCGTTTAAACAGACACGGGTAAAGATGGAGCACTTATATTTGTAAGTTTAGCGAAATACCTGCCTCTTTTTTAAAAAAAAGTGGGGAGGGGTCACTCTACTTACCCACGTCCCGTCGGGGCCAAAGAGCTCCAGGAAGTTGCCGATAAATTCTCGAGATTTTTCCTCCCATTTCTGGATGAGATCGTGGCTCTTCTCCTCCACGCGGTAAACGAAATGTTTGCTCTTCTCCTCAACGTTTCGAACCTTTTCCTTCATGCGGTCGACTTGGTTCTGTAGCCGATACTTCTTCTCCTGAAAACGTTGAGAGGAACAGCGTAAAAGACAGTCCCAAACAAAGGTATTGTTCGAGAAACATTTTAGAAATTGGTTTTTGTAGGTTAAAGGGGACATATTGAAAAAAATCCTTTTTTTAAGTTGTTAAATGCATTTTGTTGCGTACTTGGAGTCCATGGGAGTGCAGAAAATTAGAATTTAGTTTCTCTCAAAGATCTTTATATTCTGTTTGGGTCATATTTTTCAACCTGTTCATTTTTGTCCRTTCTTTATTACATTTCATGAAGTCAAATTATTTGCAACGGTAACTACAATTTAATGGTCTTCATTCTCCTCTGGCTCCAGCATGTATTCCAGCATAATTTCCCTCTGGGATCAATAAAGTATTTTTGATTGGTTGATGTAAGGCTGGATGGACAAGTCTTCCCTTGTTGAAATATTTTTAATTAATTTGCAAAGAAAAAAGTTTCTGCACTGCTATATAGTTGAAAACCCCTCTATCAAACTAGAATGGATCGGTCTGGAAGCTGGAGGGGGGCGGGGTGTGAAACGCCTCGTTTGGATTTAAAGAGACAGCCTCAAAACGAGCTGATCTGAGATGCACTTCGGAAAAGGGGCGGGGCTTGTGGAGTTACAATAAGGAGGTATTCAGACCAAAGCATTGCAGTTCCTCTTTATACAAACCCCAACTGAATGATTTAAATGTGAAAAAGAAGGATTTAAAAGCAGGCTATGTCTACTTGAAAAGTTTGTAGTTTTAGTGTCTTGAAATAAAACTCCCTGCAGTAGATGTGTTACAAAGAAATGGTGGTCTTACATTGATGTAGCTGACGTTCAGCTCTTTAGCCGTGTAGCCGCGTTGAAGATTGCGTCGGGCGTAGACGTCGTAGTCCCGGACGATTCTGGTTATTATGTCCGAGGTTGAGATTCCCTCTGTCCGCTGTGTGGGAACAAACATTCCTGAGGAAAAAATAAATAAATAAACAAAAACTTTATGCATTTTCCTTCAACTTGAGGCTTACAGTATTTTGTAGGTGAAACACACAAAGTTAATAATCTGACCTGCTTCTTTGATGTGTTTGTAAACATCCTCACTTCCTGCAGAGGAGTACGGGATGTCGTCATGAGCCACAAAATCGATCTGAGACACAAATCAAAGGCAGACAAACAAAGGGTGAGAAGAACTGAAGTGTCCGCAGGAGCGACATGACAGATCAGTCCAGGGTGCCTCATCAATAAAAGCCCTTCAAAGTACTGATAAGAGTCCACCGCAAGTTTCTGAATGATTTTACTCACTTTATCATCTCACTGAGATC